TCTATTCTATTCTATTCTATTCTATTCTATTCTATTCTATTCTATTCATCCTTATTTATTCCTTATTCTATTCTAATTCTAATTGTTATCATCTTAGTTGCTCTTCTTTGCACTCTTTTCAGAGTCTCAACAACTTTTTAATATCGTGGCGACCAAAACTGGATGCAATATTCAGTTTGGTGGAGAGACCAAAAGTGGACTACTAGAAGTGACCTTGGAGGTCTTCTAGCCCAACCCCCTGCTCAGGCAGGAAACCCTATAAACCATTTCAGACAAACGGTTGTCCAGCCTCTTCTTAAAAACCTCCTGTGTTGGAGCACTCACAATTTCGTCAATTTATTTATGATAACTTATGTTTGGGAATTGTCGTGTGTGTGTGTGTGTGTTGAGTCTGATCTCTGGGTGTTATGTGAATTTCGTTGTATGTGTATACTGTGTATACACATACAATGACAATAAAGTATTATTGTTATTGTTATTGTTATTATTAAATCTTTGGTGAGATTCACAGCTTTTGGGGCTGGTTGATAGCTCAACAGCTCGAGCCCTAACCAAGGACCTAGGAACTGTTCAGGTAGCATCGGAGGATATAAGCTGTTCCAAGTAGGGTGGTTTTTTTGTAGAATCAGGGTATTCAAGTCTGATAAATTCAGGATTTCCAAATAGTGAGGCAGCCCTTTAGGTATGGCTCCAAGGGCTCCAATTACAATTGGGATAACACACAATTTCTTTTTCCAAAGTAGCTCAACTTCAATTTGTAAGTCCCGATACTTTGTGATTTTTTTCTTGCTGTGTGTCTACAATTTGTGCATCACCAGGTATTGCAATGTCAATGAACCACACAGCCTTTGCTTCTCAACTAGTGTTATGTCAGGCGTGTTGTGGGCCAAATGCCTGTCCGTCTGAATTCTGAAGTCCCACAAAACCTTGACTTTTTCATTTCCAGAACCTTCTCAACCGGATGTTCCCAGTAGTTGTTATTATATTCAAATCCAAACTTTTGGCATAGTTTCCAGTGAATGCTTTTCGCAACTCGGTTATGGCGTTCTAGGTAGCCGGTTTGTGAAATTTTGCTGCATCCACTGATCAAATGGTCAACTGTTTCATCTTTCTCATTACAGAGGTGGCATTTGCTGTTGGTGGTGACATGCTGAATCTTTGCCTTCATCCAATTTGTGGCTAAGGCTTGTTCTCGAGCAGCCAAAATAAAGCCTTCGGTTTCTTTTTTTCAGTATTCTTAGCCAATTCCAAGTAAGCGTTTGGTCATCTTTGCCTTCAATACTTTTCAGGTATTGGCCATGCGTAGCTTTGCTTTTCCAATTTTCAATTCGCTTATCAATTGCTTCTTTTTTGCATTCAGCTTTTGACTTGGTTGTCTTCAAAAGGCCTCCTTTATGTGCTTCCTTGATCATTGGCTCTTCACTTTTCTGGATGTAGTCATTCAAGCTGTGACTTTCTTCTTCTACAGTCTGCTTTACTTGTAGGAGACTTCGACCACCCTCTGCTCTCAGTAGATATAATCGATCAACATCACTTTTATGAATCGCAAAGCACGATTCGTAGTCATAAGGTTCCTTGTTGTTCTGCCCAAATTGTCCAGCTCCATCTGGGTCCAGTCGATTATTCCTACAGAGTATCGAATCACAGGTATAGCCCAGGTATTCATTGTTTTTATCATGTTTCCACCACTCAATTATTTTCCACCCCTCAATATTGTACTCTCAAATTGCAAATGGAGACGTGGGTACTCTTATTTTTCTTATCTTCGTTTTTAAGTGCTTTGGTTTTATTGTACTGCGAACGGTTGCTGGGGTGCATCCACAGTTTCGTTGTACTTGTACAATGACAATAAAGTGCTTCTCATTCTAATTCTTCTAATTCAATTTGGACTTCAAAATCTTGCGAATATCCTCTAAAGTATTTGGCTGAAGTTGATTCCTGGACTTTATTATGCATTAAATCGGAGGCTTCTAAAATCCCTGAGTACTTGTAGCCTGCTTCTGGTTTCATTGCCTTTATCATTTCTTCATGGTCAATTCCATCATCTTCTATGACCTTGCCTGCTTTTGACTGACATTGTTGCACGTTTCTCAGTTCCAAAGTGCATGCCGATGTCTGGCTAAACTCTTTTGTACGTTCAATTAGTGAATTCAGTTCACTTTTTGTTTTACCAAACAGCTTCAAATCACCCATGTACAACAAGTGCGAAATTTTCAATCCTTTCTTTGCAAGTTTGTATCCATAGTTCATCTAATATTATTATTATTCACTAATTCATTATTATTATTATTATTATTATTATTATTATTATTATCATCATTATTATTATTATCATTATTATTATTATTAATTATTTTAAACGGGTCGGCTACCTGAGTGTCATAAACTCTGGCTGGCTCCCAACCATCAAACCAAGAAATTAACAATGTTTTT